GCTGCCCCCACAATGGCTGGCTCTCCCACAACTGTCAGCACAGTGAAGACGCTGGTGTCATCTGCTCAGGTGGGCCTCCAAGACCTTGGGCTCCCCTAGGCTGGAGTTTGCTCAAGAAAAACTCCTAATTACATTCTGATCTCCTCGCTCAATGTTTTTTCTATGTTTCCCATATTTATGAAATCTTCTTAGCGCTCTGCTAAGAATCCATATGAATTCACTCTCTAGTGTTCCTGTGGTCACTTGGGACAGGGGACCAAACTGAAACTGCAACCCAGACTTTATCCCCATCCTGAGGCAGTGCAAGGAAGAGGCCGAAGAGAAAAGTGCTGGCTCCCCCGGGCTCCATTTCTCTCCTGCTAAGTAGCACTTGGTGAGGGTATCATGGACACAGCACAGACAGCAGGAAAGGGCAGGTATCCTCTCACTGTGAAGAACTCTGCACTAAAGATGCTTGTCCGGAAGCAGGGTCTCAGCTAAGATTCAATAAGGAAGTCTGGAAATAGAGGCAGACAGCTTAGGAGTGTAAACGGGTGTCTGTTTGTGTCAGGCTGGGTCACGTGGGGTTGGAGTCCTTGACCACAGCTCCTTTCAGAACACTGCGGAGCACTGCCTGTGCCCCGGGTCTGGTGTGGGGAGGGCAGCCCCCATGAGGCCGGCCAGGCATGGCCTTGTTATAGCCTGTGTTTGGGGCTGGATGATCCCATGAGGGATTTTGCCTGGAGTGGCCTCCTCAGACTTGCTGACTTAGGAACTGCCAAGAGGTGCCAGGGAGAAGGTTGGTTTTGGGTCAACCTGGTCACCCTTGGCAGACAGCAAGTTAATCACCTTGGAGGTGGCAATTGTGGACAGGATCTGCCCTGATCCCTTCTAAGGCACATCTCAGTGGGGATGTGCATGGCAATGTCCCTCCCTCTGTGATAGGGACCTAAGATGGACTGAGTGTCAGACTCACCCAGTTTCTTCCACTGTAGTTCAAGTTTTGACAGTTTCTGTTAGTGCATCTGATCTGACTTTCTCTTTTTCTTACAGGTTTCCAGTCCCAGTCAACGCCCAGGCCAGGTGAGTCCCCAGCATCTGGGATGTCCCTTCTCTTTCTGCCCAAGCACCCCTACCTTCAATCCACAGAGCTCCAAAGCTCCTCTGTGCGGATACCATGGGGCATATTATTTATCCCACCACTCTGTAACTGAGACCCCAACACAGCGCTTCAACAGACATAGAGGATGGAGGAGGCTTCTGACTTCTGTTCCATTTATCTCAGCTTTCATGAAGCAGTTTCATACTGTACTGTGGGTAACCCTTACAGGTTCAGGAAGTGGCCTCATGTTTAGTGAGCTTTGGCTGCTTTACATTCAGATCTGATCTCTCCTTTCTGAGAATTGAGAGTGCTTGTAAAGTCATCTGGGAAGGCAATGTCCACGAAAGCCTTAAACATGCCTTTGTCCATGGGCAAGCAATGTCGGTGCAGGCTGCTACCTCCATCCCTCACTCCTGCAAACACCCCAGATTTTGCAGCACCAAATCTGCATCCAGAGAAGGCAGAGGCCATGCTCCTCAGGGAGAGGCATAATATTTCTGGTGCCTCCATTTACCAGGAAACTTGATAGCCCAATGGGCGCCTCCTTGGTTCCCTTAACAGGTGGAACTGCCAGAATCTCAGCTATGGTGTTAGATGTGCCCATCAGTCCATGTGTCAGTGGATGGGGCAGGCTAACCTTTGTGGCTCAGAAGAGGACTTCTAGGAGGGATAGGACTGGTCTCCAGTGAGGCCTTTGTTCCTGGCCGAGTTCACTGAGCTGAAGACTTGAACAGACACTTGGAGCAAGTGGCAGGAACCAGAAACTGAATAGTTTTAATGATGCTTGCGTGGTTCAGAGACCTTTCCTTGCTGAGCTTTTCACCCTCAAGTCTAATTCTGTCCTTTCTCTTTGTTGCAATTTACAGATGCTTGGCCAGCCACTGACTTACCTGCATCGACAATAGGTAAATCATCCTCTCACTGCTCCCTAGGGCTCACTCTCTACCTCTTTCAAACATTTCTTTAGAAAGTGATGGAATGAGGCTAAAGGTTGGTGCCTCCATTTTTCATGCCCCTGCAGGTTGCCTGGGGATGAATGTGGCCTCCCTGGGGACCTGGTCCTGGATCTGATGATGGAGGGTAGAGTTGCTGCTGACCTGTATCCCCTGGGAATCTGTGTTATGTGTTCTGGAAAGATCCTCATCCAGGTGCTCCAGACAAGCCCTGGACATCTCCCTAATACTCCTGGGTTCTTGTTCCTGGCCCTCTGCCAACGGGTGCAGGCCTGAGCTGAGTAGAGGACAGTGCCCGTCCCCACAGCTGTCTGGCAATGTCCTGTTATTGCTGGCACTTTGCCAGAAGCCCGAGAGGACCATGTGGGTGCCACCAAACTCCTGAACATGGTGCAGGTCTCGCCCTCCTATCCGGAGCTGTGCAGCTTCATCCTGTGTGAGAACGAAGCTCAGAATGGGGAGCGAGGCTTCCATTCCTGTCACCTCTAGAGGGGTCACAGGTTCCTCACCGGTACTTGAGCTTCCATAGATCTGGGCAGAGTAGGACATCACTACTTCTTCCAGTACGACGAGGCTGAACTTCTTTTCAGAAAGTATTCAAAGGTGATTACTTGCCCAAGAGACTTTGGTCAACAGGAAATACCCTGAGTGTGGAACATTCCTTAGATCCTTGATCTCATGATCCATATGGATGAAGGGTTTTTGTGTTCCCCTGTAGGATCTGAATCCAGTTTGGCCCTGAGGCTGGTGAATGGAAGTGACAGGTGTCAGGGCCGAGTGGAGGTCCTGTACCGAGGCTCCTGGGGCACCGTGTGTGATGACAACTGGGACACCAATGATGCCAATGTGGTGTGCAGGCAGCTAGAATGTGGCTGGGCCCTGTCAGCCCCAGGAAATGCCCGGTTTGGTCAGGGCTATGGATCCATTGTCCTGGATGACGTGCGCTGCTCAGGGTATGAGTCCTACCTGTGGAGCTGCCCCCACAATGGCTGGCTCTCCCACAACTGTCAGCACAGTGAAGACGCTGGTGTCATCTGCTCAGGTGGGCCTCCAAGACCTTGGGCTCCCTCTGTTGGGCTGGAATTCGCTCAGGAAGAAAGTCCTAATTACATTCTGATCTCCTCAAAGCTTGTTCTATGTTTCCCATGTTTCTGAAGTCTTGTTAGCGCTCTGCTCAGAATCCATATGAATCTACTACCTATTGTTCCTGTGGTTACCTGGGACAGGCACCAAGCTCAAACTGCAACCCAGACTTTATCCCCATCCTGAGGCAGTGTAAGGAAGAGGCAGAGGAGAACAGTGCTGGCTCCCCAGGGCTCCATTTCTCCCCTGCTGAGTAGCACTTGGTGAGGGTATCATGGACACAGCACAGACAGCAGGAAAGGGCAGTGATCCTCTCACTGCAAGACACTCTGGACTAAGGATGCTTGTCTGGGGGTGGGTTCTCAGCTGACATCCAATAGGGGGATGTGGAAATAGAGGCAGAAGGCTCACAAGTGCACAAGGGTGTCTGTTCCTGTCAGGAGTGTGTCACACGGAGTTGGAGTCCTTGACCTGAGCACTTTTCAGAACACTGCAGAGCACTGCCTGTGCCCCAGGTCTGGAGTGGGGAGGGCAGCCCCCATGGTCTGGTGTGGGGAGGCAGGCCAGGCAGGACCTTGTTATTGCCTGTGGTTGGGGCTGGAAGATCACATGAGGGATTCTGGCTGGAGTGGCCTCCTCAGCCCTGCTGACTCAGGAACTGCCAAGACATACCAGGGAGAGGATTGGTTTTCAGTCAACCTGGTCACCCTGGGCAGACACCAGGTTAATCACCTTGAAGGGGGCAATGATCAGGATCTGCCCTGATCTCTTCCAAGGAACATCTCTGTGGGAAAGTGCATGGCAATGACCTCCTGTGTGCCAGGGGAGAAGGATGGCCTGGGTGTCAGACTCGTGCAGTTCCTTCCTCCTTTATTCTAGTTTTACAGTTTCTGTTAATGCATCTGGTCTGACCTTCTCTTTTCTTTGTCACAGCTTCCCAGTCCCGGTCAACGCCCAGGCCAGGTGAGTCCCCGGTGAGACATCCTTTCTTGGGATGTCCCTTCTCTTTCTGCCCAATCACCCCTTCCCCCACTCCACAGCGCTCTCCTGCTCTTCTGTGTGGGTACTGTGGGGCAGATAACATCTCCCCACCACTGTGTAACTGATACCCCAGCATGGCGCCTCAACAGACATGGGATTGAGGAGGCTTCTGACTTCTCCATTTATCTCAGCCTTCATGAAGCAGTTTCATACTGTACTATGGGTAACCCTTACAGTTTCAGGAAGTGGTCTCATGTTTAATAAGCTTTGACTCTTTTATATTGAGAGCTGATCTAACCTTTCAGAGAACTGAGAGTGGTTGAAAAAGTCACCTGGGAAGGCAATGTCAGTTGCAGCCTTTTTTTTTTTTTTTTTTGAGTCGGAGTTTTGCTCTTGTTACCCAGGCTGGAGTGCAATGGCGCGATCTCGGCTCACCGCAACCTCTGCCTCCTGGGTTCAGGCAATTCTCCTGCCTCAGCCTCCTGAGTAGCTGGGATTACAGGCATGCACCACCAGGCCTAGCTGATTTTTTGTATTTTTAGTAGAGACGGGGTTTCACCATGTTGACCAGGATGGTCTCGATCTCTTGGCTTCGTGATCCATCCGCCTCGGCCTCCCAAAGTGCTGGGATTACAGGCGTGAGCCACCGCGCCCGGCAAAGTTGCAGCCTTAAACATGACTTTGTCCATGGGCAAGCATTGCCAGCGCAGGCCTGATACCTTCACCCCTCACTGCATCAAACACCCCAGATTTTGCAGGGCCACATCTGCATCCAGAAAAGGCAGAGGCCGTGCTCACAGGGAGAGCAATAGTAAATATTTCTGGTGCCTCCACTCACCAGGAAACTTGATACCCTTTGAGCGGCTTTTTGGTTCCCTAAACATTTAGGCTGGAACAGTCAGAGTCTCAGCAATGGTGTCAGATGTTCTCATCAGTCCATGTGTCAGTGGATGGGGCAGGCTAACCCTTTGTAGCTGAGAAGAGGACATCTAGGAGGGATAGGACGGGTCTCCAGTGAGGGCTTTGTTCCTGGCTGAGCTCACTGAGCTGAGGACTTGGACAGACACTTGAAGCAAGTGGCAGGAACCAGAAACTGAATACTTTTCCTGATGCTTACCTGGTCTGGAGACCTATCCTTGTTGAGCTTTTCACCCTCATGTCTAATTCTGTCCTTTCTCTTTGTTGCAATTTACAGATGCTTGGCCAACCACTGACTTACCTGCATCGATAACAGGTAAATCATCCTCTCGCCCCTCCCTAGGGCTCACTCTCTACCTCTTTCAAGTATTTCTTTTGAAAATGATGGAATGAGGCTCAAGGTATGCTCCTCTGTTTTTCATGTCCCTGCAGGTTGCCTGGGGAGGAATGTGGCCTCCCTGGGAACCTAGTCCTGGGTCTGATGATGGAGGGTGGAAGATCCTGGTAACCTGTCTCCCCTGGTATTCTGCTTTATATGGTCAGGAAAGACCCTCATTCAGGTGCTCAGAACAAGCTGTGGATGGCTCCCTCATCCTAATGGGTCCTCGTTCCTGGCCCTCACGCCATAGTTTGTAGATCTACAAAGAGTGGGGGAAAGCGCCTGTCCCCGTAGGTGTCTGACAATGTCCTGCCATTCCTGGCAGTTTGCCAGAAGCCAGAGAGGACCATGTGGGTGTCACAAAACTCCTGAACATGGGGCAGGTCTTGGCCTTCTACATGGAGCTGTGCAGCTTCAACCTGTGTGAGAATGGAGCCCAGAATGAGGAGTAGGACGTCCATTCCTGTCACCTCCAGTGTGGTTACAGGTCCTTCCCCAATACGTGAGCTTCCATAGTCCTGGGCAGAGTGGGACCTCACTGCTTCTTCCCTGTGATGAAGCTGAAGCTCTGTCTGTAATCGCATTCAAAGGTGATTACCTGCCCAAGAGACTCTGGCCATTAGGAAGCGCCCTGAGTGTGGAACATTGCTTACATCGTTGACCTGATGATCCATACGTATGAAGGTTGGAATATATGCTGGGTGCCACAAAGAATAATCAGCACTGAGACCAAGGATCTTTCAGCAACACAATTTTTACTTCCCTGACTGCAGGAAGGGTACCCCTGGTAGCCATCGTTCCACAAGAGTACAAAGAGCAAAGGGAATACACACACATTTATTCCTTACGCATTTGGGGTTGTCCTTACTGCTGATGTCTGATCTCCATTGGCTGGAGCCAGACCTCACGTATTAAACTGAAACCGGATTGGCTAACCACTTCTTTAAACTTTTCTAAACAGGGAAAGGCAACGGAGAGCTGGAACATGCCTGTGAGCAGTCCAGCACAGATATATTGGTTAAAGTACAGGGCCATAGAATGTACTATGTGCCTGTAGCATGGCATGTCTTCTAACAGCTACATAGGATAGGGCGTAACAAAGTCATTAGCACACTTGTTCTGTAACAAGAAAGGAAACTTTTAAAAGTAATCTTTCTACTTTCCACAATGAAGAATTCTTGTGTTCCCCTGTAGGATCTGAATCCGGTTTGGCCCTGAGGCTAGTGAATGGAGGTAACAGGTGCCAAGGCCGAGTGGAAGTCCTATACCAAGGCTCCTGGGGCACCGTGTGTGATGACGGCTGGGACATCAGTGATGCCAATGTGGTTTGCAGGCAGCTGGAGTGTGGCTGGGCCACGTCAGCTCCAGGAAATGCCCGGTTTGGTCCGGGCTATGGACCCATTGTCCTGGATGACGTGCGCTGCTCAGGACATGAGTCCTACCTATGGAGCTGCCCTCACAATGGCTGGCTCTCCCACAACTGTGGCCATAGTGAAGACGCTGGCGTCATCTGCTCAGGTGGGCCTCCCAGACCTTGGACTCCCCCCCTGAACTAGAGTTTGCTCAGGAAGAAAGTCCTAATTACATTCTGATCTTCTCACTGCAAACTTGTTCTGTTTCCCATATTTCTGAAGTCTTGTTAGCGTTCTGCTCAGAATCCATATGAATTCACTGCCTAGTGTTCCTGTAGTCACTTGGGAGAGGGACCAAACTCAAACTGCCACCCAGACTTTATCCCTATCATGAGACAGTGCAAGGAAGAGGCAGAAGAGAACAGTGCTGGCTCCCCCGGGCTCCATTTCTCCCCTGCTGAGTAGCACTGGGTGAGGGTGTCGTGGATACAGCACAGACAGTGGGCAAGGAGGGATCCTCTCGCTGCGGGAAACTCTGAACTAAGGATGCTTGTCCAGAGGTGGGTTCTCAGCTGAGACCCTATAAGGAGGACTAGAAATAGAGGCACGTGGCTTAGGAGTGTAAACAGGTGTCTGTCTGTGTCAGGCTGGGTCACGTGGGGTTGGAGTCCTTGACCACAGCTCCTTTCAGAACACTGCGGAGCACTGCCTGTGCCCCGGGTCTGGTGTGGGGAGGGCAGCCCCCATGAGGCCAGCCAGGCATGGCCTTGTTATAGCCTGTGGTTGGGGCTGGATGATCCCATGAGGGATTTTGCTGGGAGTGGCCTCCTCAGACTTGCTGACTTAGGAACTGCCAAGAGGTGCCAGGAAGAGGGTTGGTTTTGGGTCAACCTGGTCACCATTAGTAGACACCAAGTTAGTCTCCTTGAAGCTGGCAATCACGGACATGATCTGCCCTGATCCGTTCCAAGGATCATCTGTGTGGGGGTGTGCATGGCAATGTCCATCCCTCTGTGATAGGGGACTAGGATGGACTGAGTGTCAGAGTCGCCCAGTTCCTTCCTCTTTTGTTCCAGTCCTGCCAGTTTCTGTTAGTGCATCTGATCTGACTCTCTCTTTTTCTTACAGCTTCCCAATCCCAGTCAACTCCCAGGCCAGGTGAGTCCCCAGCATCTGGGATGTCCCTTGTCTTTCTGCCCAATTACCCCTACCCTCAATCCACAGAGCTCTCCAGCTCCTCTGGGCAAATACTGTGGGGCATATTATTTTCCCACCACTCTGTAACTGAGACCCAGCACAGCAGTTCAACAGACATAGAGGATGGAGGAGGCTTCTGACTTCTGTTCCATTTATCTCAGCTTTCATGAAGCAGTTTCATACTGTACTGTGGGTAACCCTTACAGGTTCAGGAAGTGGCCTTATGTTTAATGAGCTTTGGCTGCTTTATATTCAGATCTGATCTCTCCTTTCTGAGAATTGGGAGTGGTTGATAACGTCATCTGGGAAGGCAATGTCCGCGGAAGCCTTAAATATGCCTTTGTCCATGGGCAAGCAACGTCGGTGGAGGCTGATACCTCCATCCCTCACTCCTGCCAACACCCCAGGTTTTGCAGCGCCAAATCTGCATGCAGAGAAGGCAGACGTCGTGCTCCGCAGGGAGAGGGATACTATTTCTTGTGCCTCCATTTACCAGGAAACTTGATAGCCCAATGGGCGCCTCCTTGGTTCCCTTAACAGGTGGAATTGCCAGAATCTCAGCAATCGTGTCAGATGTGCCCATCAGTCCATGTGTCAGTGGACGGGGCAGGCTAACTTTTGTGGCTCAGAAGAGGACTTCTAGGAGGGATAGGACTGGTCTCCAGTGAGGCCTTTGTTCCTGGCCGAGTTTACTGAGCTGAAAACTTGAACAGACACTTGGAGCAAGTGGCAGGAACCAGAAACTGAATAGTTTTCATGATGCTTGCGTGGTCCAGAGACCTTTCCTTGTTGAGCTTTTCACCATCAAGTCTAATTCTGTCCTTTCTCTTTGTTGCAATTTACAGATGCTTGGCCAGCCACTGACTTACCTGCATGGACAACAGGTAAATCATCCTCTCACCGCTCCCTAGGGCTCACTGCCTACCTCTTTGAAACGTTTCTTTAGAAAGTGATGGAATGAGGCTGAAGGTGGGCGCCTTCGTTATTCATGTCCCTGCAGGTTGCCTGGGGAGGAATGTGGCCACCCTGGGAACCTGGTCCTGGGTCTGATGATGGAGGGTGGAGTTGCGGTTGACCAGTCTCCCCTGGGAAACTGTGTTATGTGTTCAGGGAAGATCCTCATCCAGGTGCTCAAGACAGCTCCCTAATCCTCCTGGGTTCTTGTTCCTGGCCCTCAGCCAACGGGTACAGAATTGAGCTGAGTAGGGGACAGCACCTATCCCCACAGCTGTCTGGCAATGTCCTGTTATTGCTGGCCCTTTGCCAGAAGCCTGAGAGGACCATATGGGTGCCACCAAACTCCCGACCACGGGGCAGGTCTCGGCCTCCTATCCGGAGCTGTGCAGCTTCATCCTGTGTGAGAATGGAGCTCAGAATGGGGAGTGAGGCTTCCATTCCTGTCACTTCTAGAGGGGTTTCAGGTTCTTCCCCAGTACTTGAGCTTCCATAGATCTGGGCAGAGTAGGACATCACTACTTCTTCCACTGGGATGCGACTGAACTTCTTTTCAGAAAGTATTCAAAGGTGATTACTTGCCCAAGAGACTTTGACCATCAGGAAGCGCCCTGAGTGTGGAACATTCCTTAGATCCTTGATCTCATGATCCACATGGATGAAAGAGTTTTTGTGTTCTTCTGTAGGATCTGAATCCAGTTTGGCCCTGAGGCTGGTGAATGGAAGTGACAGGTGTCACGGCCGAGTAGAGGTCTTATATCAAGGCTCCTGGGGCACCGTGTGTGATGACTACTGGGACACCAATGACGCCAATGTGGTGTGCAGGCAGCTGGGCTGTGGCTGGGCCCTGTCAGCTCCAGGAAATGCCCGGTTTGGTCAGGGCTATGGACCCATTGTCCTGGATGATGTGCGCTGCTCGGGGTACGAATCCTACCTGTGGAACTGCCCCCACAATGGCTGGCTCTCCCACAACTGTCACCATAGTGAAGATGCTGGTGTCATCTGCTCAGGTGGGTCTTTAAGATCTTGGGATTCCTCTCCTGGCAGGAAGTTTGCTCAGGAAGAAAGCCCCAATTACATTCTGATCTCCTCACTTAAAATTTGTTCTGTGTTTCCCATGTTTCTGAAGTCTTGTTAGCTCTCTGCTCAGAATCCATATGAATTCACTGCCTAGCGTCCCTGTGGTCACTTAGGACAGGCGATCAAACTCAAACCACAACCCAGACTTTATCCCCACCCTGAGGCAGTGCAAGGAAGAGGCAGAAGAGAAAAGTGCTGACTCCCCAGAGCTCCATTTCTCCCCTGCTGAGTAGCACTCGGTGAGGGTATTGTGGATGCAGCACAGACAGCAGGGCCAGGGAGAGATCCTCTCATTGGTAGGAGGCTCATGGAAAGGAGAGGACATATTTTGGGTAGGGAATTCTCACTTGAGCCTCCTGTAAGGAGCATTTGGATTGGGGGCACATGGGCTAGGAGTACAATGGTATCTGTGCATGTGTGACGTGGATCTTGGTCAGTTTTGGCTCCTTCCAAAGAACTGCAGTGCATTGACTATCTACCAAGTCTGTTGTCGGGAGGGCAGGCCCCATGAGATCTTCCAGGCAAAGCCTTGGTTATTGCCTATCTGTTGTGCTAGAAGATTACACATAGGATTTTTGCTGGAGTGGTATCCTGAGACTTACTGACTTTGTGAATTGCTAATCCTGTGAGGGAAAGGGTTGGTTTTCATTCACCTTGGTCATCACATCCAGACACAGAGTTAATCTCCTTCGAGCTGGAAATGGTAGATAGAATCTGCTTGGACCCCTTATAAGAAGGACCTTTGAGTCCAGCCAAAGCATGGGCATTCAGCAGATCTGGGTGAAACTCCTGGGCCTTGTTTGAAGCCTCCAGCCACTCCCTACCTCATCCAATGTGGAAGGTTCCCTTATCTACCAGTTGTCAATTGATTTTTAAAGAGGATCTAGTATTAGGGATGCTTTTGTGTGCACATGGCAGGAACTCAACTCAAACTGTCTTAAGCTAAAAAGGAATTCATTGGCTCGGGTATCCAGAATGTTTAGTGGTAGATCTGGAGGTTCAGGTACAGTTGTTTCCAGAAGTTCCAAGTCTTCTTTTCCTAAGCTTTGCTTACATCTTCTCTTTTATCTGTGTGGGCTTCACTGTCAAGTTGCTTTTTTCACATGGCTGGAAGACAGCAGTGGGCAGCCCCAAGTCTATATCCCACCAGGAGAATGAGTCAATCTATCCCAGTACCTCTCTCTGACAAGGCCTGGGAGGACTCTGATTGACCTGCTTGTCCCCAGGTGCTTTCTTCCAAACCATCTCGATTAGCTCTGATGGCTCCATCAGAGTTCTATACCCATCTTCGTGTTCCCTAGGGGCGATGGGAAGGATGTGGCACTAGGTTCTACCAGAAACCTTGTGAGATGCTACTTTTTTTTTAGAAAAATAGGAATGACTGTTTCTGTTAGAATAAAAAACAGGCAGGATGTTTAGGACAGAGGTAGCAGCCCCTCAGTTGGACCCTTCTTTTCCTTTGATACTCTCTGCTCTTTGCTGGCTGATGTTACCCCTCTATCCCAAGATGGAACCTTCCCTCTCCCTGGCTGTTGGCCATGTTCATTACCATCACCTCTATCTAGTTTTAGGACTTTTTCCATTATCCCCACGTGAAAGCTCTTACCCCTTAGCCATTCATAACCCATTCCTCTTTCCCTCAGCCCTTGGCAACCACTAATCTGCTTTCTATCTCTGCAGATTTTGCTAAAGAACTCTGATCATTTCCGTGAATGGAATCATATCCTTTTCTGTCTGGCTTCATTCAGTTAACATATGTTTTCAAGGTTCATTCATGTTTTAGCATGTATCAGGTCTCCATTACTTTTAATTGCCAACTAATATTCCATTGTATGGCTACTCCACCTTTTGTCTATCCATTTAACAGCTTATGGACATTTGGGTTGCTTTCATCTTTTGGCTGTTATGAATAACACTGCTGTGAGCATTAGTATACAATTTTTTTGCACTTGTTTCCAATTTTGGGGGATATATACCTAGGAGTAGGATTGCTGGGTAATAGGGTAATTCTGTTTAATTTATTGTGGAAACACCAAACAGTTGCCACAGCTGCTGCACAAATTTGCATTCCTCCTAGCAATGCCTGAGAATTCTGATTCCTCCATATCCCCACCAGCGCTTGTTATGATGTCTTTTTCATCATGGCCATCCTAGTGGGTGTAAGGTGGTATCTCATGGTGTTTTGATTTGCATTTTCCAGGTGACCACTGATGTTGAGCATCTTTTCATGTGTTGGTGAGCCTTTTGTACATATTCTTGGGAGAACAGGGGCTTCATTTTATAGATGCTAAACTGAAGACCAGAGGACCTAAACTAATGTCAGTATCTTAGCCCAGCTCCCAGGCTCACAGGACAGAGTTCAGGTACACAGAGGGATCAGGATGCCTGGCCCAGTGTTGTGTCTAGAATGTGACTTTCCTGCATGGAGGCCTAACTCTGCCATTTTCCCTCCACTCTCAGGCATAGGCACAACTAGGTATGCACAACTAGGTGTCATCATAGTCACTTCTGCCCACTGTCCCTGTAGCTCATGGTATTCAGTGGGTCCAGGTTTTGTTGCATATTGAGGACAAGCTTTGGGTTTGAAAGAACAAGTCTTAGGCCTAATGGAGTGGTCCCTGTGAGCAGAGTGAGTCAGCCAGAGGTGGGGAGGTGGAATCTCCCAAGAACCGGGTTCTAAGGCTGCATCTTGTCAGGTGGCTGGGAGCCTATCTTGGTAGCATCCTGCTGCAGGGGCGCTTGAGCCCAGTGGTCCCTGCAGATCCAGGCTGACAGCTCCTGCACTTTAACCTTTGAATCTGAAGGCCAGGCTCAGCCCTTGAATTGCTGGGCACTGGAGTAACTGCACTGGAGAACATGCACAGCTCAGTCCACACCCAAGGGTTCTAGAAAACAACCCATAAGGATAACATGATGAAGAACAGCCTTCGGCCAATGTCTATGCTGCTGGAGAACATTAACTGGAGACCCAGAAACCTTGGCCTTCTAAAAGAATTCTGAACATCATTCTGACCTCAGACCCTCTTCCTTTAGGAGATATAGGAGAGAGTGAATTTTCCTGTCTTTTCTAGAATCCAATTCTGGTTTGGTCCTGAGGCTGGTGAATGGAGGTGACTGGTGTCAGGGCCAGGTGGTGGTCCTATACCAAGTCTTCTGGGGCACTGTGTATGATGATAGCTGGGAGACCAATGATGCCAATGTGGTCTGCAGGCAGCTGGGTTGTGGCTGGGCCATGGCAGCCCCAGAAAATGCCAGGTTTGGTCAGGGCTCAGAACCCATTGTCCTGGATGATGTGCCCTGCTCAGGGAATGAGTCCTACCTGTGGAGCTGTCCCCACAGTGGCTGGCTCTCCCATAACTGTCAGCACAGTGGAGACGCTGGGGTCATCTGCTCAGGTGGGCCTCCAAGACCTTGGGCCTCTATTTTAGTGAATGATTTTCTCCAAGACACGGCTTCTCTTGGCATTGGCTTCCCCTCAACCTGAACTCCTCTTCAAGATGGGCAGTTTCTCTGATACCTCAACAGGGCAATAACATGAGCAAATGTTGTTGGTGTCTGAATTTTATGGATAGGCGCTAGCTTTTTCCTTACATAGGTTCCTACGGCAAACAAGGGTTCAATCTACTTTTAGGCTGTAGGAATCAATTCTTCCAACACGTTCTTTTGAGACAAACCCTTAAGGTTTATATCTATGATTCCATTTTCCTGAGTGGCTCCTGGGGAGTATTTCTAAGTGACCATGTGGGGACAGGCACTCAGCATTTCTCTCTCTCATCCTCCTGGGCTCTGAGACTGACTCATGTTTTCTTCTTTTCCTTGCAGCCTCCCAGATAAATTCTACTACGACAGGTGAGTCTGCTCCACCCCAGCCCAGCAATATTCCTCTTGGGAATTCCACCTTCTCTTGTTTCCAGAAGTAGGAGGAGTAGGGCCGGCTCCTCCTGAGGGGTGATTTTTCTCTGAGGACTCTGAGCTTGGTGAGGGTGACGAGCTGAGTTCCCACTGCCGTCATTCTCATGTCTGGCTCACCGCGGAGGGCCCCTGTGGCTTCCTGCTATCACCTGCTTAGGGTGCTAAGTGCTGGCAGAGATGCTGCTATGGAAGGAGGCTTTGGGCCTCCCATCATGTCAGATAAAAATAACTGTCTAAATTAACCCATGGAAAATTGGGACCTTCATTTTAGAAATAGGGCCATGTAATATTTCTGCACACATTTGTCAAATAAAGAATTCCTTCACTTTGAGGGAGCCATCCCCAAAGTGTTCTTTGTGCCACATTGAAAATATCCTGGGCCAATTACATTGGGAGATGCTACCTACTCTAGACCTTACTGGCCATGAACAGCGTAAACTGGAACGGTCAAGGCTCTGAGAAGTCCTGTACTAAGGAAAAGGATTTAACTGTGTCAATCAAGCAAATGACTGTGGAATGGAAAAATTATCTAGTAAAATCCTAAACAGCTTCATTTTTTTTTTCTAGATTGGTGGCATCCAATAACTACAGCCACTGCAAGTAAGTATCACATTTTCTACCTGAACCAGAGGTCATACATTTCCTATCCCCAAGCGTGGCTATTTATGAGTGAACGCTCTGCCCCCACCCCCAGCCTTCCTCAATCTGCACATAACCCTGGCTTGGCTCACTACACCCTTCATCCGGCAGTCACACACCCCCTTCACATCTCCCCTGCTGGGAATATGACTTTTGTTCTAACTAAGTCATTCTACAATATATTCTCTTCATTTGAATCAATGAAATAAGTATTCTTAAAATAATAGACTTAAAAGCTTTTATTTTGGGGGGCATCTCCAAAGCTTTGGGAAGAAGAAGGAAGACAAATAGTACATGGATAATTTTACTACAAATTATGCTTTCCCATGTCATTTTTATTTCTTTTAAAAAATGATTATATATTTAAAAAACATATCTATATGGATATGTTTCAATAGATTTTCATTGCTTTTAAAAAATGATAGGGCTACTTTTCTGTGTTATGAAATCTTTTCTTACCATCATTTTAAGTGCCTGTATTGTATTCTATTATACAGCTATGCTGTGAATTATTTAACAAATCCTCAGATGCTAGATATTTGTTTGTATTTCTTCATTACTGTAAATGATTCTGTGATGAAGAATGTTTTTGTAGACACTTTTTTGCATACCTCACTAATTTTTTCTTTAGGATATAAATAGGTTTAGTGGAATAAAGTCAATGTCAACATAATGCCTGGTACATAGAATGTACTTCCTACATATTAACTTTTACTGTGTTAGGCATTATAAGATCTTGCTGTATGTATGGTCAAACTGCCACCAAGAATGGTTGTAAAATTATGGAATGACATAAGAGACAAACTGATCTTTTTCCTCAGAGCTCACAATATTATTTAATACTCAACCAACTAGAAAATTACAGTTGTGACAAGTGTTTCCAAGGAAAAGTTCAGTGTGCAAAGAGGAAGTATTAGTAGAGATCTTCCTCAATTGGGGAGTTAGGGGAAGTTCCTTATGGAAGTGACATTTAAGCTGGGAGTTAATAGAGGAGTAGGTTCATTTGCCAAAGTGTCTTCCAGGGTGGGAAGGAGCTTGGCTCTTTGAAGGAGGGTGGGGTGGGGACAAGGAGGGACTGCAGGAGATCTGTTGGGTGAAGCCAGATCAGTCAGGGCCTTGTGGGTAGATTAAGACTCCCATCTTTATCCTAAGGGTAGAGAGGCTGTGGAAGGGTTTTAAGCTTAAGAGTTAGCTACCTGGAAATATATTTGCAAAAGATCACGTTTATCTTCTCTGCCAAACTGTGCATTTCCTGAAGGCAGGGGCCATGTCTGCCTTTTTCATATTGTATCCTTATTGCTACCATTGTGTTTGCCTTTCGAGAAATGTTTATTGAAAGAACAAATGACTGAATGGATAAATTAATGAAAAAATACATAATTGCTGTTGGCATTTTGGCATATATTCCATACACTGTACACACACTCACACACACAGAGTATGACATGCTTTATATCCCATTATATAATCCATCATTTTAATTTAAGTGTATAAAACACTTTTTCATGGCCTTAAAATTAGCATTTTTATAGCATTGAAATTATTTGTATAGAAGGTTTAATGACTACACCATTTTCCATTGTATAGAGATCCATAATTTAGTTAATCGGCTACTTATTGTGAGGCAAAAACATTGTTTTCAATTATAATTTATAATGTTAAGTGACTATATACAATAGCATATTTTATAACTATTTCTATTTAATTTTTAGGAATATGTAATTTATATCCTTGTCTCTGAAAGTTTGACTGTACCCTTAACCATTTCCCAGTGTAGAAATAGAGCTGGTGGGCAGGCTGGAGGACCTTCAAGAAGCACTTTCTTCCCACCAAATGGGAGAACATATTTCTAAGCATATATCTGATAAGGGACTTGCACCTGGAATATATAAGTAACTCTTATAGTCAGTGATAAAAAGTCAAATAGCCCAACTGAACAATGATCAAAAGACTGGAAAGATATTTCTCTGTAGAAGATACACAAATGGGAGAGAAGGCATTGGAAAGATGCTCAATGTTATTAGCCATCAGGGACATGCAAATGAAAACCAAAGAGAGATGCCCATCACACCCGGTAGGTGGGCTATAGTCAAAAAGCCTGATGATAACAAGTGTTGGTGAGGATGTGGAGAAATTGGAACCCTCATGCATGGCTGCCGGGAATGTAAAATGGTACAGACACTTTGAGAAGCAGTTTGGTGGCTCCCCAAAAGGTTAGACCTGGAGTTACCATATGACCCACCACTTGTACTCCTAGGCATATACCCAGGAGAAATGAAAACATATGTCCACACAGAAACTTGTATGTGAATGTTCAGAACAACTTTATTCATAGTAGCCAATTGTGAACACAATGCAAATGTCCATCATGGTGAATCGAGAAACAAATATGGTACATCCATGCAATGAAGTATTATTTAGCAATAAAAATGAATTTAATTGTGGCTGGGCATGGTAGCTCACACCTGTAATCCCAGCACTTTGGGAGGCCAAGACAGGCAGATCGCCTGAGGTCAGGAGTTCGAGACCAGCCTGGCCAATATGGTAAAATCC